TCAACTCGTCTTCAAGGCTACACCACTCCTGTGCACAACGAAAAAGTGGCTTGCCCATGTGCCATGCCTCCTGCTGTCGACCATGAAACAGTATGCCTGCACCACCGGTTGTTGTGTCCTTAGCACGAAACCGACTTGCCACCTTGGGGTCGGTTGGAGCGAATAGGTGGCACGGGGCACGAATTGTAGTGTGCCCCCAAATGCCTTGAAGCATTCTCAAGACAGTGGCGCGACGGCTGCCACCGACCACATCCAACGTGCTGCCATGTACCACAACCTGGCTCGACCGTGAGAACGACATGGATCACTTAACACTGAGGCAGGCCCACGCACTCCCTGGAACTCTCCTGTCAAGTTCCTGCCTCAAGAGGATCGATCTCCTCGACTCGCTGGCGCCCCGTTGCCAAGTCGATGAAAAGCTCGAACATAGAACGATCCTCACATCGCGGGTACGACAACGAAGGCAAATGCCCGAACACTGCCGCTCGCAACTGCAACCCCTATTCCGCGGATGCTTCTCCTAAAATGAGATAAAGCTTTCGACAAAAGGCGAAAACGGTTGGCATTCTCTGGGGGGCAGGACAACAGCACCCATGTCCTTGAATGCACCAGACGTGAAGACCATCTGGCCATGGATCTTCCCCTGTGCCCATCGCAGACACAGCACGGGAATGAAGACTTTGGGCCTCGTTCCGAGTTCTCGCGGAACGGGAAATTCCCGCCTTGGTTGGTCTTCACAGCCCATCGTCTTGCAACAACGAGAGTCAGCAAGAAGGACGTACATGCAATGAGATGCAAACTCTGACACCAAGATTCTGAAAGTCGATCGCATCGGCCACGAATGGTGGTAGCCGTTGTGCAATTCCTTCCACTGCCTCTGACGATGATGCTTGCACAGGAGACGCGGTTTCTGCATCTGAAGTTGTCGCCTCCTGTAGCTTGGCATGATGCTTTAAAATAATGCGGCCGTGTGCTTGCTTAACGGACATCTCCGCCAAGTCTGCTTTCAACTCCTCCGTCGTCGTCTGGGATAAGATGTTCCTGCTGTCAAGCCCCCTTTCCTCGAACTTGCTTGCATAAATGCCTAAGACGGCATCTATGGAAGCTAGCCATTGATGGATCCATGGCACTGCCGGCTTCGATTCCATGGGTGCTCCTGCAACGACGCCGCCGTCTGGCCAGCCAATATGCAATAAGATGCTACCCAGCCCTCCTTCTGTGAGCAAATAAGAGCGGGCGAATAAGCTGCAACATGTACACCCAAAGGCACAGCTGCAGCTCCGTTTAAAATCCTAGCTGCACCCAGCGAACGATCAAGTTCAACTCAAGTCGGCCAGCTCGAATGTGGATTCTGCTTCGCTCTCCAGTCGGACTCAAACGGATGACTTAGGAATGCAACAAACCATAGCAAAAACACGTGGATGATCGTGGATGCAAAAACGTAAGACACTCAGTTTTGGATCCTTGCTGCAAGATCTGCAGCTTCCAAGCTC